TATAAAAATTCTCTTTTAAGTTATAATTCAATGTAAATTTCAAACCTTTGTTCCACATATTTTCCCATCTTCAAAACAAGATATTTTGTGCTGATGGAATTTTGGGATTCAGACGTACAGTAAACATACTTCCCTTAAGCTGTGCTATTAGCTGTGTAAATCTTATGTGCACATAATTATAACTATTGCTGTGTTAGGGGAAGTAAACAGTAAAATGAGGCCAACATGCATGAACCGGTCTGCATCTAATCATGATTTACCAACTAGAGGGGATGGGATACCCCAGGTTTTCTTGAAATAAAATACAGAGAGTAGTGGTTGCTGTAACACTTTAAGCAAGAATAAAAACATGGGAAAATAATACTGTAATATAATGTGTTTGCAAGTCAGTGTTGACTCCTGATAACTACCTGAACTAGTCCCTGCAGTTTTCTTGGCAAGATTTTTTTTGAAGTGGTTTGCCATTGCCTGCTTCCTAGGACTGAGAGAGAGGGTCTGGCCCAAGGTCACCCAGCAGGCTTCGTGCCTAAGGCGGGACTAGGGTTTCTAGCCCGGAGCCTTAACCACTATACCAAACTGGTTCTCCATGACAATGTAGGGGTAGGCGACTAAAGCTCCGTGTCTGCATGCAGCCTTGAATCCCTTTTCTTGTGTGTGGGGCCACCAGAGTTTTTTTTGCTAAAAACTGGTGGCATAGTTTCTGGTCATGTTATTTTACCATAAGCCCCCAAACAGGTTGAACATAGTTTTTAAACACCTCCCACCAACTCCCCTCAAGACAACCCTCAGAAAATCTTGAACCTCCTCACTTTGTGTTTGTCCTGTCCTTTACCCCCACTGGCCATCAGGCAAATGGTTAGTGCAGCTCCTATTTAAAGGTTGGAATAATGCAAAAGAATGGCTGCATCTGGATACAGGCTAAGTTCTCAAGCAGCAAAGTTAATCTGCTCCATAAATATCACAGATGTGAAAAGGAAACCCATGAACTGCAAAACATACACTCTTATACACATATTTACACTTTCCCTGTTGATAGTGTGTGCTGGAAATTAACATTATATAGACTTGGATCTAGAGCTTTTATTTTGTGTTGAGGTTGATGATTAAGTTGTACGTTTGGAAACATACACACTATCAGAAATAATGTTTGTTAATCCAGAACGGTTACACAAAGAATAAATTTGAAATATTGGCCTAAAACTGTAAAAGAAAAAGGGCTCTTATGAGTCATGAGAGACCTTATGCAAGTCATATGAACATTCATACATTTCCAGTCTTTGGCAAACAGAAAAGAATATGAGAGAGAGAAGATCAAGCAGTTTGAGGGCTGAAGAAAATGGGTGGCATATTATGTGGAAATTTTTCCAGTTCCAGATGCCTATGCCGCCGTTATGAAGAGAAAGAAGACTCATCACAGCAAAACAATATTCAACCGAAAGGAGAGGATTGTATACTGAAAGTAAGCAGTTTCTTACATATGACATTTTGGGAGAGGCATGGGCTAAATCTCACTGGAATTTCGATGAAATAAAGGAAATCTCTTGATCAGTCTCCATGTTAGCTTCACAAAATAAGAAACATTAGAAAAAATAAGGCGATAACAACTTACTGGATTGACTAATATATAAAGTTAGCCAGATGCTTGTCCTTATAACACCCAGGATGCATATGCACATTTAGAGTGCATGGTTCTTTGGAATGTGATACTGAGTCCTTAAAGACTTATCCATTTATAGGGCTAGCAGAACAGGCCTGCATAACTCTGGATGGCCACAAGATGACAGCCTAGAGGTACAGAAAACTAATTCATCTGGATTTTTACAGTCTCAAAGTATAGATGACTATATTCTCATAATGTAATTCTGTCATGAATCAGAGCTAAAAAAAAATCAGAGAACTCATAGTACAAAAATATGGGAAGATATGATCAATAAGCACATTTTTGTTCTTGAAATGTTTACCAATGTACCTGCCAATTTAGAGATCCAAGTAGAATGCAACAGTCAAGGAATGCATTGCATCCACCATAGTTCCCTAGTTTGCAGAAACCAAAATCTGGAAGAACCTACCAATGCTGTTTCAGCAATCCTCTTCCGGACCATGATTTTGGTGATGAATTCTTGGGGGCAAGTGTGCATTACATGAAAGGAACTGTAGAAGGCATTTTTTTTTATAAAGTCTGTATTTGAATATGAATCCTAACCTATTCTAAAGGCTCGATGGGGGTTACATTCATTTGGAATAAGGGATAATGCCAATTGTAATTTTCAGTTACTATCAATCACAAAACAACAGAAGATACACATTTATATTTTTTGGTCTTGGAGTTAGAAAACAAAGACAAAAGTTTGATCTTCTTTATTAGAATATGAAGAATTATTCATTACCAGGTAGAACAAAAAACAATTAATCTGAAGCACAACTATGTGATCAGAAAGATTATCTATCTATCTATCTATCTATCTATCTATCTATCTATCTATCTATCTATCTATCACCTTTGGATTCCAGCTTTTAACTTCCTAACCTCATGAAACACCTATTTAAACCTAATTAATTTTTCTGCTGAGCCCACCAGGGAGGATACTTCTTTTGGCATATTAAATATACTCCATATTCCACTCTTAGAGAAGCATATTCAGTGCAGACATGACTCAGAAGTGACAGTGACAGTGTTTGTAAGCAGGCAATTGGAACCTGCAGTCGCAAGTTCAAATGAGACAGGAAAAGTCAGCTGAGGTTTTGAGTTTGGGTTCAGACTTGGAAACTAAGTAAAGGGGACACGTCTTGCAATCATCATAAAATATAACATTGCCATGTTTTCTGATTCACAGATAATAAACCTGTGTACTGCTGGGTCAAAATAACTTTTAAGAAACCTTAGAACTAAATGCATGTGTACTCTCTCTCTCTCTCTCGCTGATATCTAAGCCAAGAAAAAGTCTCCCATTTGGGAATGTCTCGTCCTACTTGCATCTTGAGACACTGAGCGAAGGCCCTCACTCAGTGGTGTGCAAAGGGATCAGCAGGTGAGTGTCTTACAGAAGAAACTTCTGTCACCCTTGCATTATTAGTTAAATCTATCATAATTCAATTCATCAGAAATGAACTCAACACAATTAATTTAAAACAATAGGATGAATAAAAAGCTTTATAGGAAATATTCTAGAATTAAAACATTTGAGAAGCAAATTATTAAGGGACAATCAGATCTTCTCAGCTATAAAAAGTAACTTTATTAAAATTAGAGTATTCTTTGCACTTATTGTAAATCCATGAATATTATCTGAAAATTTGCTATACTATTAAGTGAAGAAAAATACAGTTTCCATGGTGTGATGGAGCGCGCATCCAGCAGTCTATTTAATTCAAGCAGATCTGCATACAAGTGCCTCTCAGAAGCTTTGACTCTCTATCTGCAAGTTTGCAGAAATTACAATTTAATCTGCTTCAGTTGAAGTGGGTCTCCGGCTTAGAAGCCATGTTCCACTGCAGAAGAGGGAAGTAAGATGTTGTTTTTTTTAGTTTGAAGAAAGAAAATATTATCATGTTTCATCCTTGAAGGTGTGATGGAATGGAATTATGAAGGCCAGGCTCAGGGAGATAAGTGTGTTCTTAGTTCGCTGGAGGAGCGTGGGAAGTTCAAAAGGATAGGGCTGGCACTTCCCTGAGGAATTCATGGTGTTGTGGCTGGCTGGCTTGGGAGCTAGGTTTCAGTCTGGGGAGATTTTCTGTCTGGAGGTTATAGCTAATAAACACAGTAGAACTGAATTTGCATTGTCGTTTGGAGTTCTTTGGGTTAGACCTGACAGAAGGCACAGTTTGGATGCAGAGGTCCAAGGCACCATTCAATAGAACAAACAGAAGAAATTAATGTAAAGTAACATAGGTTATCATAAACTCTAGTCATTTTGTATGGACAGGGATTATGGAATTATAGTTTATAATATCTGAAGAGTGCCAACTTGCCTACCCTTGTAGCAGACAATCGAAAGTCCTGTAGAGGAAAGTAGTCATGATAGATGCATATGAAAAAAGAAACTGTTAGTGCATGCCACTACACTCAGCAAGTACAGGAGTATTAAAGAAAATGTACAGAGAAGTATGCATAGGGCATATACAGAGACATGCTAGATATAGTAGAGAACTAACTTAAAACAGAGAAAATGCCCAAAAGGAAAAATGAATATCAAATCAAGGATGAGTTGATTTCTCTCTCCAATTTCTCCAAGTAGTTGAAGTTATATATAATCCCTGGAATAGTGATCCATGCAGAAGCATATCACACAACAGGAAAAATCTCACCAGGAGCAAAGGACAATAGTATAATTAATAAAGGGAGGCAAGGAAGTGTTAGAAACAAGAGGCTTTCTTCAGAAAATGGTAACTTCCATCCAAATTAGAAGAACAAAACAAAAACAAACTTTGAGAAAATAAATGCAAGCAGAAAATATGGGATATAAAAAAGAATCTGATCTTATGGCTAAAATCATTTAAGACCACCAATTAAAAGGAAAGCACATACAGTGTAAGAAGCAGAAAACAGAGAAATATTTAATTTGTTGGATGAATAAATGCATGCTGGCAAAAGATAAGGAGATAGAAGAGATGCTGATATAGTCTTAAAGAAAATATAATACAGAGAAGGAAGCAATTTTTTGATTCATATTTTCAGGAAGAAAATCCAATAAACTGAAGCAAATCGTGGTAATGGGATACTTCTAAGCCTTCCCAACAAATTAAGTACAGGTAGTCTCTGGGTTAAGAATGTCCAGGTTACAGACAACCCATAGGTAAGAATGGAGCCTGTTGTAACAAAATTCAAATTAAATACTCAATGATTCGACTTAAATACCAAATGGTTCGAGTTCATTACACAGTACTACTTATGCAGTACAGTATTACACAATAATACTGTTTGGGCTTACATACAAATTTGACTTAAGGACAGACCATGGGAACGGAACTTGTTCTTAAACTGAGGACTGCCTGTACTAATAAATCGCCAGGTGCAGACTCTAATCTATCTACCCAACCATTCTAAATTTGGACTTGAAATTCTTACCTTCTTACAAAAAGATTGCCATATTCTATTCTTGTGAAGGCCAATGTATAACATCAATGTTTAAAAAGGCATCCATGAGTTGCAGAAAATTTCCAGGTAGATTGGTGGAAAGTGTTATTAAATATGCAAAAACATAAATCTTGCTAAAGA